TGGATATTTTGGTGATATGTGACATCATTCCCAAGGAAAACCTAATTCGAGAGAGCATAAATAGGTGTATGAATTAGGACCTCAAAATAATATAAAACCATGGAAGTTTACAGCTCCTTGTCGGATATTTTTTCTTATCCCTATCCAAACAAAAGCACGCAAAATGAAAGCACAGGCTGACTGAGCAACACTTAAGTGTTTCTTCAACTTGGCCTTGATTTTTGACGATTTTTTCTTCCCTCTTTGCCTTGCTATTGGTCAAATAAAAATGTCGGTTGGTCCATGCATATCCTAATCTTCAAAAAGTCCAAAAACATCAATTAACCAATTGGATTTGAGTTAAACAAAGCATTGCTTTTCTAGGGTAACCAACAAAGACAACTCAAAATGTGGTTGACAATGGGGTTGTGTGTGTTTGTCCCCATTATGATTGGGGTTTTTAATCATATCTCACACCTTAGAGGAACTACATACACATGAACATAAACACGAGAGTGGAATTTCTTTCCTTGCTTTCGATTTAATTGGTGGCTAAGTTTGCACTCACAAGTGTGGTTGGAATTAAGCAGTGGGAGCAATTTTGTGTTTTGATTTCTCTTTTTAGTGGGTCATTTTAATATTTTCATTGACCTCACCTCTCCCTCTAGCTAGTTGTTGCCACAATATCTGTTTTGCATTAGAGGAAATACTTAAAAGTGCTTTGTTTTGTTATCAGAAGAGACAATTTTGTTGTTTAAAATGGCGAAATAAAGAATAGAAGCAGAGTCATCTATGATGTAATAAAGTGCCCCTTTTCCTTCTCTTTGTTGGGTGGAGAGAGAGAGAGAGAGAGGGGAGAATTCGCACCAGGTAATCTTTATTTACAAATATGTCCCACATTACACAGATTCCATGGATTTAGTGGGTCACAGTCTATATTTGGACAAAAGCATCTGTTTATTTTCTTTATATTATGCCAAATCATGGTTTTTCCTATCTCCTTGCATGAATATAATTACACATAAATACAATTCAAGTTTGATGTAGAGGTTTGCTAACGTGATAGATATAGAGCATGGGGTTTGATTAGTGAAACCCTTCAGTTGATCCATGATAATCATCAAGATTAGGTTTTCGAAATGCAGTCAACAGTGTATAAACATATAAGACCTTACACAATTTACTGTTTGGCAGCATCCAAACCCTTTTATGTTAGGTGCAAGATCCATGATCAATCTCAGAAGTTTATTCAAAGTCTGCAAAAAGGGATGCATATCTTTGACAGCCGATCTTGTTCTTACTACTTTTCTCGATTTCTAACGTCATGAATTTTCTATTCATTAGCCCTAAACAGGACCCTTTTTAGCCGTTAGACTAGGCTTCCCTTCAAGGGAAAACGACTCAGGTTTTCGGGGGCCACACATGCATCAAACCAAACAGATTATGCATTTGCTGGTAATCATGTAGGTGACTCATCACATGTGCCTCGATCTTTTTATCATAACGTGTGATTACAAGAATGACAGCACTTATGGAGCATCGATCCTAGCCTCATTGCTCATGCCGTTATTATATGCAAAAGCCTAATTTTATGGAGTGAAAGGAGCAGAAAGATTGTTAAAGGCACCATGATCACATTCCAAATGCTAAGTAACAGGCTTTTTTGCTTTGCTTTTTGTGGTGATACCAATCACTGTGAACATGATGGCCTTAAAATTAATTAATCAGTAACAAATTGTTTGTATTTACAAGGGAAAAAACCACAAAAAATCTCAAATTATGCCCATTGTGACGAATTTATCCTGAACTTTTTTTGTAATATTAAAAACCTCAAACTATGCCCACTGTGATACATTTATCCTAATTTTTTTCTTGTGACATAAAAAAACCCTAAACTTATACATGTATGACACGTTTACCCTCAATCACAGTTCTGTTAAATGAATTTTTAACCAAAACAACGTTGTTCTTATTTTACTGAAGTCCCGTGGGCGTAATGTCAATACTATTTTCTTTTTGACATTCATGTAGGCAAATTTTTAAGGGTTCTCATTGACAGAACTTTGACAGAGGGTTGATGTGTCCCACAAGTACCATTTTGGAATTTTTGGTGTCATGGAAACTATGCCCAGTGTGACACATTTACCCTAAATTTTTTCTTGTGACATAAAAAAACCCCAAACTTATACCTACATGACACGTTTACCCTCAATCATGGTTCTGTTAAATGAATTTTCAACCAAAACAACGTTGTTCTTATTTTACTGAAGTCACGTGAGCGTCATGTCAATACTATTTTCTTTCTGGCATTCATGTAGGCGAATTTTAAAGGGTTCTCATTGATAGAACTTTGACAGAGGGTTGATGTGTCCCACAAGTACAATTTTGGAATTTTTGGTGCTATGGAAAAAAGCTTAGAGTAAATGTATAACAGTGGGCATAGTTTAGGGTTTTTGGTTGTTTTTGCCCTATATATAAATGTATATTGTGACTGCATTCAGAAGTCTCTCTCTTTGAAGGGGCTGCATAATTATTTTCTTTTAATTAATGAAACCACTTATGCAAGCACTTTAAAAAAATTCCTCTTTAGCTCTTTTAGATGCCAATCTTTATGCATTTTTGAAATCTTGAACTCTGAGAATGCTAATGGACTTTGTCATGGACAACAGAAGAAAATTAATGTTGTTTATGTTCTCAACTTGTTCTTTCTCTGCAAATCAATTTGCCACTCCTTCATTAAGATCGAGTGCCCCCACTAAAAGCAAAAAAAGATCAGAAACCAATGAATGTTGAATGAGAAAAATGAAGGGTAGTTACAGAAGGAAAACCATTAATATAATGCAATTATATGAAGAAAAGTGATGAGCAAAAGGAGTTCCACGACAAATCCAAGGCCTGAAATCGCTTGAGACAAAAACAGATCTTCGGAAAATACTACTGTCATCTACCGAGGTGCTTTTCCAAATTTAGGTGGAGAAGTTTCAATGGAACAAATATAACTTATCTAAGATGGTCTGCCATCAAGGAAAAGATAACCTTTCTCACTAACCAAATAAAATAGATAATTGATTGATAGTTGGTCTTGCCATACGACACTATCCTTTGCGAGATCTAATAATTCACACCTCACATGCATAGTAGCATCAACGAAAAATGACCGATTCATGCGTTATTAGGACATTGTTAGGACATAGAAAGCTACATTTAGCGGAAAAAGCGCTGGTTTGTGCTTTGCATACTCTGGATGAACCAAACATCTGCTAGCCTCAGTAGCTTTTTAACCGAAAAGATCTCGCTAATGAGCAGGGCAAAAAACAAGGCAATTAGATCTTGTGTACTTTACACTAACTTTCTGAGTTAGAGAATGGGACATCACTTTGTTTAAAAACATACAAATCCATCCACTGCATATAAAGTCAGATCTTAATTAATCAGTAGTAAGCTGTGTTATTATAGAAGTCAGCCAATTAGCAGAATATGTACATGCAACTCTCATGTCTACAACAGAAGGTTTGATCTATATTTAGGACTTTTTTCCCATTAATCGTGTCACAGATAGTACTTAAACTCCTTTCAAATGATAACATTATAACTGTGAGGTAAAATCTTATGACAAAGATAACACTAAGTTGAGAAGTAATAACAACAGGAGAATGAAGAAACACTCTTCGCAGGAATAACAGATGACCTGATCAAAAGGAAAAACTTCCAATGAAGAAACACTCTTTCTAGGAAAAGTGAGAGTACCGTACAAAATGAGATATGGTAAATTAGAGTACCAGGTGCTTGTCTTTAACGTAAAAACAATAATAAGTCTGCAAGAATATTGCTTCCCAAGCATTAATATGTTTCAACATTAGTCAGAGAGCTAATCAAGAGGAACCCCAATAAGAAGGGAATTTAGTCTTTCATGACTAAAGAAGAAAGCCTCCAGAGGAGAGAATTTTTTCCAGGGAAATCTTAAATGTGCCACTAATGATCACTTTAGAGAAAGTTAGTGTCTTTAGGAATGAAAAGAAAGCAAACTTTGCAAGAGAAAAGCAGACCTAAAGAAATGTTTATGATACACAATATTCCCATTTAGGGAAGGGTGTGTGATATGGAGGGGCATGAGGCATCATCTGACCAAAGAATGAGGGGGAAAAATTGGAGGAAAAGAGTGGTGATGGGAAAAGAGTCGGTGGTGGGTAGTGGTGGCAAGTGATTCTCTCTCTCTCTCTCTCTCATTGTGGGGTCTCCATTTTGACTCAAATTTAAGGTGGGATTTCCTGTTCCACGTGGAAGTTTTTAAACCAGAGGTTATAATAATCCACAAAATGATGTTGGGATGCTAAGGTTTTGGCAATGGGAAAGTTGAGCATTGGTTATGATGGAGATAATCTAACTTACAGTGAAAAGAGATACAAAAATTCCCTCGGCTGCTTCACTAGAAGGTACATTAAACCACTGAACCCTCAGCTGCGCAAGAATCTTTCCCTTAAAATCAGGTGAGGACCACCGCGCAAGCCGAAAGTTCAAGCCCGAAAAGTAGCAGATCACACCCAATCATATGCTCTTAGTTTGACACAATGCTTGAGTACTTCCGAATGCTCTCAGCATACATGTTTTGGCTCAAGCACTGTTCTGGGAATGCTTGGTAAAGAACTCCTGTAAGTTTTAAGCTTTAGTAATTCTGTAAAAGCAGAATTTTGTGGAAAGCGTGGATATTATGATCCACCACATTACTTCCAGACAATCATTAGCAACCTGGTAAGTTGCTTGAAGGAAGGTGAGCATGGTAATACAGTCAGCACATGCAGATGCCTTAATCTCTATGTCTACGCCCTGTGTTCACATTAGTCAGCCAGCAACAGGAGTATGTTTCTCTCTTATGAATCATGTCACTGTTGAGATATGTTATCAGTGGTGAAACTTGGCCGGAATATAAGCTCGGTCTGACTAGCCTTGCATTACACTTGATGAGATCATTCTTCAGAATCATTGATAATCTGACAATTTATTCAACGTAACATCAAGAGAAATTTCTGCAACTTACCCACTTCCATTGGATCCATAAAGAGTTTTGATATGCTGAATGCAATAATGTGCAAGGAAAATGCCGACAGAACTCGATTTGTACACAAAGATGCATACCATACAATTGATTAGTGCTGTACCATCCACATGAATTCCATACTGATGGACTAGTCCATTGCTTCATAAAAAGCACATCTCTTTAGTCTCGCACACATTGCGAGAACTCAATGCCACAAGAATGATGCACCTAGAGAGGATTTCTGTTGACATCTTTGTACAGAAGATACCGACTCCTGGTTTTACCAAGCGCAGCGTACCTGTCATATAGAAAACCAAAGGAGTTAATTCCTCTGAGAAATGAAGCTCATACTAACTTGAGTAAGAGTCAACTGACTAATCGATGGATGGTAGAAGAACAGTATTAATTGCTCTTTCTATTCGTACCACTGAGGCACAAATGGCGCCATCCAAATGGCATCACCTGCTTGAACTGGGTACCTATCAGGAATCAATCAGGTTAAGATTAGTACCATGGTTCGCAAGAAAGGAGAATGATAGAAAGAAAAAAAATCCTACTATTAGGTTATTCAAATGAATTTCAGAAGAAATCTCCAACCCCACAGCAAGAAATTTCAGGGTGAAAGTCTTACCAGCTATTGCCTAAACGATAAATGCCCTGTCCCTCCAAAAGCAGCAAACCATGTTGATTGTAGTGGACCTCCTGCAATAAGAAATATTACAGTGCTTAGTAAGCTGCGGACCAGAATAGCTTGAATGTGCAATTAAATCTAAGAGGTTGTTCAGTGAATCCAGTGCAGAGAGCTTGCTATTCAACAGAGTTATAAAGTCAACCAACAGGGTATGTCAACAATAACTCTGACTTCCCGACCCAAAAAAAAAAAAAAACAATGACTCTGACTTGAAAAGGTGTACACATAGTATTATTTCACACAAATTCCATAACTAATTGTCAGTAGTGACGATTCTCCCACTTTTGCGTTTTGAGATCAATTATTCTATATATATTAAGACAAGCTCACTATCTACAGGAACTCGAAGACATGGCCAAGTTGAAGATTTTACATGGTTTTCTTATATTTTCCAAAAAAGGAACTCTAGGCTATAGAGTTGGTGGAGGAAACTTTATACTAGTTTTTTCTTCATTTTTTTTCTTTTCCTAGTGTTGATCCGGGCAGTTGCCCAACATTACACGGTTGAGACATCTACCGTCGTCCTAGTTGTGTTTTAAGATAGAATAGTTCACTTCTTCTCACTCGTACAGTCACATTCTACATTTGTTTTCAGCTTTGTACTTTCGGAAATTAAATCTCTGTTTCTGTCCTCTGTCCCATTAAATTTTTCTAAATTCCAAAACTTGAATTACATATTTGACCTAACTTCCTTTTTGATTTTTTTGGTCGAAGTCAAACCTTTTTGCTTATTTTAAGGTATGATTTCATATTAAAAATTTAAAATTTGTTCCATTAACTGTAATCTTCTCTATTAAGTTTGACTATTATATACGTATGTCTGTTATACACAATTTGTTTGCACAAGTAAGTCACACAGAGCACATATTTTACCGCATTTTGATTTCCTCCTAATCTGAATTTGGGCAATTGTAATGTGAAATTGGTCATACAAATTTGTACGAAAATTGTCTAATTTTTCCAAATTGCACTTTACTCTATCCGATAGTCAGCTTAACTAAATAAGAAGTGATAACATAAAGAATGACGCTAAGAAATAAAATATGAACCATGCGGTTCTCTGACAGTTTGAACTTTTAGAACAAATACCTCCCCATTCAATTAAGTTGGTATCAGAGTTGGATCTCGAGTTTGATTCCTCTCACTGCCCTTTCATCCATCTATGGGTTATGCCATGAGCAATCAACTATTCTTTAACTCACAGGCAGTGGGTTCACATACTTTATCAAATTAAACTTCACATGAAGAGAATTTTTTTGACGTGAAAATGTTTTCGTTGTCTAAACTCCTAGGACAAATTATCACACCGCTGAACTCTAATGTAATGAAATTTTGTTTTGAGGGACAAAAATTTTCAAGTAGTTTCTAGATCCCGTGCATTGCAAGGATCATGTTCCAGTACTTAACCAAATTTAATTTCCAAAAGAAAAAATACCTTGACATTAAGGAATTCACCAGGTTGAAAATCCATGATCTGTATACAAGAATATATCATCGGGTCAGAGCAAACAAGAATTAGATCATCTCTAAAATATTTAACTTATGCAAAAATGTCAAATGTTTATCACCTCTAATTTTGGGTGGTCAACGTGGAGGGAAGCCCTTAGCACTTACCACTAATTTTTGTTAATGTTTTTGAAAGCAAAAGCCAGTTTAAAGCCAATTTGCAAAAACTAGAAAAAAAAGCCAGAAGCAGCAGCTGCTCCACCAGCTTTTGGCTTGTGCCTTTTAGCTTCTTAATAAATTAAATGTGACAATATGAGGATTACCTAAGAAAAATTTTGAAATGTAAAGTGATAACAAATTTTGTTTGAATTTTTTTGAGTAGCAACAAGTAAAAGTAGAAAATGTTAAATGTTCACCTAATTATATTTGAACGAATAAGAGCAACAGCTCAAGTAAAAATCCGAAAGATACAGTTTAAGGGGGAAAATAACAGGTCTAAGCCATCCCAATAAGGCTCCAGGCCAAGTGTGAAACATGGGATGAGTATGCTACGCTCTATATTTCGAGACAAAATTCAATAGAAATGCATCCTCACCACTCGGGAATTGCCTTGTCAAATATCAATTTTCCTGGTGGCTATTAGATGCACAATTAAGTACTGACAGAATGATAGAACTGCATTGCCAACAAAATAGTTTAGGAAGACTATCATGGCTTACGTGAATATTGAAGTCATAAGCAACGGAGGTAGGAAGAAGCTTCCTAAGTTCAAAAACCTGGTGGCACCACAAGAAATGAAGAGACACAGCATTGTTGAAAACGATAATATCCACCACGAGAATTACAAGCAAATTGTACAAGAAATTGCTAGCATCTGACAGTCAAAAGTTAGTCAAAAACATCAGTTCCAAAGAATTCTGAGAAAAAATAAAAGGCTGTGAATAGATGATACTGAAACATTGTTCCCGACTAACCTCTCCTGGAGTTTCCAGAAGTGGCTGCTTGTCTGTTGAACCAACAATCACCTCAGCAACATGACCGTCCAGAGAGGCATATCTAATGGGAAAAACAATTTCTGTTAATACTTTTCAGGATCAAAGAGACAGACTTGACTATCCGCAAGATTTAAGACAACTGCATTTGTTGTTTACCATTTAACCATATGAAAACATCAATAACTGAACTAGACCTCCTCTATGACTGATGGTGCACTACATAGTACATCTGCAAGGGAATCATCTCTCTCTCTCTCTCTCTCTTAAAGCTCAAAGTTGATTATCTAGATCTAGAGGAGGCCGGAAAAAACCTTCTTTCAATGACCACCAGAGTAGCAGGGGCATCGGCACTGAGAGAATGTTCAACATTTGGAGAGAGATAAGCATATGAATCAACCTAAAGATAGAAACACATGATAAGAATCTTGAAAGACCAACATCAACAGATAGGAAAAGAGAAGGTTTCTCAACATTGGAACTGAGGAGCATGTAATATACATTAATACTACTCATGAAAGCAGCAGCTTTAGCTACTTCTCCCAGCTTCAATAAAAATGTGCTTATCGTGCATGCAAAATAGTTAATGTAACTAGACACTGTAAAAAGTAAGATTTTTAACATGCATAATTAACTTAGTCAATGTTTGACATTGTTGGTAGGAAGGTAAGAAGTGGTAAACCCTTACCTAGACTCATAAGGTTTTGTGTTTAACAATTGATAGCTATCTTCTCCCCCTATTTGCCTAACAAATTTTTTAAAGCTTGCTATCCAGGCCACAACACAAAGGTCTTCAAAGGAATGGCGCTGAAGTAACTTGATAACTTGACGGTCATTCATAACTCATATGATATCATTATCATGCAGCAAATCTACAATAATAGTTTACATCGATACTTCCTGGTGGCTTCCCAAACGGTGTGTCGGTATGTTAATATCAAAGATTCAAAACTTTCTTTTAGCTTCACCTGCATGAACTCAAGCATAAAATAAATGATTGAGAGTTTCAATACTCCAACTCCACCTCGTGTGCAACTTAGGAAAGAATTGACAATAGCTATCACCAATTAATTCCGTTTCAAACACACAATGACATATTCTTAGTCCGACAAATTACATGCCATCAGTTGACAGATATAAGCTCAATTGTCATACCATCAGCCGTTGGCTCTTGCTGGACATAGCGAGAGAGACCGTACCCTGCACCACGCATATGAACCTAAACGGAAATTGAGCTCTTGAGTTCTCATTGACCAAAACAAAAAATTTTAAAGACAGAGATTTCAATTCTCCAAATTTCAAGCAAACAAGATATTTCTGGGGCAGTTATAACGAGAATAAAAATAAAAATAAAAAGAACAACATATGGACCTTTCTATGTCACTCGGAGGAAGTCCTGATCTTGAATTTTCTGCACAAAGCATAGTGAAAACACGTAAGAGAGAGAATTCAAAGTGGTACCAAATGATCATGGATGGGACACAACTTGAGTGAAATTTGAGCAATTCTTGGAGAGCTATATACTTGACAAGAATCATTTCAGCTAACATTCATAACCAAGACAAATGCAAATAGAAGCATCTACACCCGCAGCATTAATGCCAAGTTAGGTAATAACTTCCTAAAAGTGCTGTGTATTGTTCATTTAAGTGGCAGCTATATACACCATTTTATGCTTGACTTACAGACCACTAACTCAATCTGACGCAACCTCCTTATAGACCAGCTCAAGATAGAGAAATAAAAGACATCAAGCATCAAGACATGGGATCAACTTGACCAGCTGCCCAGATAGCTGAGACATGATGTAGCAAACAACCGCAAAAAGATGCAGCTTTCGAAACTGTCTCAGACAAGCAAGGCATGGGAGCTGATTCTTGATCACCATTGTTTGAGTGTCTTTTATGGTCTCCACTATCCAGGAAGCTCTCAGTAGTCTCTCGATATAGATGATAGCTTGTCGAATATCAGGAAGCCCTCGGTTTGATTGATTCTTGATTGCTTCAAACTTTAGGGTTTTCTTTTCTTCCTTTTTTGGGGCGTCCTCAACAGATTAGTATAAAATGCAAAGGAGGTGCAGTGAATGGTAGCAATAACATTCCATGCATACACCATGAGCTTCATGAAGCTGCTGATACCAAAGAAGCAGGCAAACCTTGCATTTTCGCTAGATACATGACGAAATGTGAACCCATTGCCGGTGTTATCAAGTATGCTGCCAATGTGTTAGTCCTGAGAAATGTATTTAAAGAACTTCAGTAACAAGACAATTCCTACCCATATAAGCATAAGATGGACCAATTACCAATCAGGTAGAGGGCTGAATACTTGACTTTCTGGTGTTATTAAAGCATGGTCTGTTCTGTAAACACTTCTGGTGAATCCCGGCAAATCTGCCAAGGGGGGAAAAGCTCTATCAGTGGAAACACAAACAAGGGAAGAACATCTTTAACCTCGCCTTGGTGAACTTTCAATTTTATCATCAAAAGAGATGGCAAATAAAAGTCGAGGCTTTTCTCAAAAAATCTCTTCACATTGTCTAGGACCAATTCAAGGCCCTAATGATTTGACCTGGCCTGACAAACTGTGGCAGTTATGGGAACTCAAACAACCAAACCAGAGCTTGAGAATCTTTACAACTTGTTTTGCAGCTGAAAATTTTGCGGACATTGAGTCTGATAGATATCCACCTTGAGCAGTAAAAGGAGACTAATATTCATTTTCTAATGTAAATCATCCAGTTCGCTGAGAGAGCCAAAAGATTTTACAATCTAAATTCAGGCATTTCATTAGTCCATCAAGAGAAAAAACATGCCGATTAAAATGTTTTCCGTTTCCATGAATCATGTCACAGTCCTAAAACATCACAACCAGCCTCTACAAATCCTCTCTGTTCATCCAAATAAAAAAGAACATGAGTTTGATTTTAATAAATACTATCGAAAAGTATAGAGTGTGGAGATTTAAGTCAAGGTACAAATCAAAAGAAATGAAAAACTATATTGCTTCACCCAATGAAGAAATTATCTCAACTTCCGAAATGGATTAACAGAAAAAGAATAGAAGCTTAACTTGAAAGACAAATTGATTTAGAAGCTTTAAGAGTAAGCCTCTTGTAGTTGCAAGAAACAACCTTAATCAGAATCTGCCATTTCCAAGATTGACAAAATCTACTAAATTAATGTACATAGCTTCCGAACCTTGAAGGTGAGAAGGGGCCAGTGTAGGATTCGTGACTTTCCAGTACAAGGGCCTCGACTCCGAGTTCGGAGTTCCTTTGACGATTGAAGGCACAGCGCAAAACCCATCTTCGCTCACGGCAACTCTGAACAGACCTGAACGATTTCGACCCACAAAATAAATCTCTCTAACCAGCAAGAAAAATCAAAACTTGGAATACACAGAATCGAGCTCTGTTAAGCAAATGCATCTGCACAGCTCTTGGTGATTTCCCCACGATTCCTCCGCATACAAACAGACAGAAAGCAGGGGAGGTCGAATAGAAAGACAGGACTTCGGACAGTGCACTTACTGAGTGCGACGAGGAGGATTGTCAGAGGCTGCGACGATGCTGAACAAGCAAAGGGATGCTTCATCCTGAGTACGAGAACGCGAGTGAGGCCGAGATTGCGAATGGGAGTAGCAAAGTTTTGGACTTTTCCAGTTCCTTCGCAATGCACAGGGTGATCCTTTCACTTTTTTCAGTGGTTTTCGTGCTTCCACGTTGGAAGCGATGGTTTAGATTGGTGAACATGAAGCGAGAATTGCTCAGGAGCAAGAGGCGTCACTTGTCTGAACCCGCGCCTACTGTGCTGGACACATGCCGGTGGTTGATTTGGTGGATCCTATTCTCGTGTGTGGATCCTGGTGAGACCCACACGCTCAACAGTACAGGACAACCCGGTTCAGTGGACCCGGATCTACGGGAGGAATTCCCAGGAGCAAGGGACACTCACTAGCAAATAAAGGCTCTTTCTTCTTATGCTTTTGAATTGCCCTTTACTCCTTCCATGAAGATTTGTTGGACTAAGTAAATAGATGCTAAGTGTTACAAAGTGAATTTGGGAAATAAGGCACATAATCGTTTCGCCCCCTGCAAAGCGTTTCCATTTTCAAGCTCAAACTTGGGAAAATTTCAATTAAGGACCCAAAGTGCGTTTCTTTTTTCAAAAAAGGACCCCAAGTGGACAATATTTTAATTAAGGACCCAAAGTGCCCAAACTAGTCTCAAATAAGGACCCAGCTCGCCGGTCGGCCAAATGTTCGCTGGCCGGCGACCGTTGGACATTTTCCGGCGCCGGATAGGGGCAATTTTGTCTTTTTCTTTCTTTTTTCTTTTTCCTTTTTTTTTTTCTCTCTTCCCTCTTGTGGCCATCGCCGGCGTCGGGCGACGGCAGTCCTCGCTTGGGTGGGCGAGGGTGGCCCTCGCCGAATCGGGTTCGGGCAAGGGTTACCCTTGCCGGATCTGGCGAGGAACGCCCTCGCCAGCCCAGGAGAGGGTCACCCTCGCCCAACGCCGGCGAGGCCGAGGGCGGCCCTCGCCGCAACCCTCACCAGCCCAGGCGAGGGTTGCCCTCGCTGGATCTGGCGAGGCCAACCCTCGCTTGGGCTGACAAGGCCAAGGGCGGCCCTCACCAGATCTGGGCGGGAGAGAGCCGCCCTCGATTGGGCTAGCGAGGGTTGCGGTGAGGGCCACCCTCGGCCTCGCCGACGTCGGGCGAGGGTCGCCCTCGCCCTCGCCAGATCCAGCGAGGACCGCCCTCGCCCTCGCCCTCGCCGGCAATGGCCACAAGAGGGAAGAGAGAAAAGAAAAAAGGAAAAAGAAAGAAAAAGACAAAATTGCCCCTATCCAGTGCCGGAAAATGTCTCACGGTCGCCGGCTGCCGAGCTGGGTCCTTATTTGAGACTAGTTTGGGTACTTTGGGTCCTTAATTGAAACATTGTCCACTTGGGATCCTTTTTTGAAAAAAGAGACCCACTTTGAGTCCTTAATTGAAAATTTCCTCTCAAACTTTTATCAAGAAATTCTGTGAAATCCGATATTATGATATATTAAGTCCTAATATAACAATGTATTCATTATGATAAACAAAAACATAATTTGAGATTTTCAGAATAATTGTCGTGCAATCCCCATAAAACTCTCACGTCCCAAAATCTTTCTAATCTTGCAACTATTTAAATTAAATTTGCCAATGTGGTATTATTTAGAATGCCTTTATGTGTTCAGAACTTCTTCACCTTTCATCACCCGCATGTGCACGAGCTCTTTTTCTAGTTAGTGGTATAAATGAGAAAACTTCAAGACTGTCTTGTTTGGACCGGAGCTGTATTACTTCCATTTTGTTTGCAGCCTTATGAATGGGCAAAAGTACACCAGAAGTGCCATAATTTGTGTACGGCGATCACTTTGGTGCCATAACTTTTTTTCGGATCACTTTGGTGCCAAGTCGGAGGAAAAGAGATCACTTTAGTGCTAATTTGGCCGGAAATCCGACGTGGCATTTTTTATTCATTTTTTACGCCGAGGTGGCTCGCTGGAGGCTGAGTCAGCGTGTACAGTCAGCATTTTTTATTTTAAATAATTTTTTCCAGCGTGTGCAGTCAGCATTTTTAATTTTAAATAATTTTTTTCCTTTTTTTTCCTCTTCTTTCCTTATTCTTTTCTTTTCTTTTTTTTCTTTTCTCCCCTCGCCGGCCGGCCACCGGCGAAGCCCGGGAAGGGCTGGGCGAGGGCGGCCTTGCCCATGGCCGGCGAGGGGCGGCCTCGCCAGATCTGGGCGAGGCGACCCTCGCCGGCGACAGGCGAGGCCGCCCCTCGCCGGCCCTGGCGAAGGCGACCCTCGCCGACGTCGGGCGAGGGAAGCCCTCGCCTGGGCGGGGTGAGGGTCGCCCTCGCCGGATCTGGCAAGGGCGACCCTCGCCGGCGTCGGGCGAGGGAAGCCCTCGTCTGGGCGGGCGAGGGTCGCCCTCGCCTGAGTCGGGTGTGGGCGACCCTCGCCCGACGCCGGCAAGGGTCGCCCTCGCCAGATCCGACGAGGGGCGGCCTCGCTTGTCGCCGGCGAGGGTCGCCTCGCCCAGATCTAGCAATGCCGCCCTCGCCTAGCCCTTCCCGGGCTTCGCCGATGACCAGTTGGCCACCGGCGAGGGGAGAAAAGAAAAAAAAAGAAAAGAAAAGAAAAAGGAAAAAAGAGGACAAAAAAAAAAGGAAAAAAATTATTTAAAATTAAAAATGCTGATTGTACACGCTGGAAAAAATTATTTAAAATAAAAAATGCTGACTGTACACCCTGACTCAGCCTCCGGCGAGCCACGTCGGCGTCAAAAATGAATAAAAAAATGCCACGTCGGATTTCCGGCCAAATTGGCACTAAAGTGATCTCTCTTCCTCCGACTTGGCACCAAAGTGATCCGAAAAAAAGTTATGGCACCAAAGTGATCGCCGTACACAAGTTATGGCACTTCTGGTGTACTTTTGCCCTTATGAATGTTATTAATATGGTGAGATATTTTGCCTATGATGGTGAGCACATCTAGATATTGAAAGCTGTGAAGAACTGTGTTGAATTAGCAAGAAGTTTTCTTTTTCCAAGCTAGGCAGATCAAGGAATCTCCGGCTTCTCAATTGAAGCTAATATTTTGAATCATTCATGAGGAGACAGAAAGCACAACATAAGAAAACACTTTTTTTCACAGACAGAGACTTTGCATTACCCAGGTTTGGCATGGTGAAGAGCTTTTCCACAATTACTGACAGTAAGCTGAAAATTTTGGTTGAAGTTTGGGGTAGACAGTACAAACAGGCATTTCTCAATGCAACAGGCATACAAATGAATAGTAATCAGAAGAACGAACTTCTGTCTCGTGTAGGAGGGAATTTTATACAACTTCACGACCTAGATGAAATTTGTTCTTCCAATTTGGTACTCTTGGTTTCACATTTAAAGCCTCATCGCTATGGAGATTCACCTCTGCTTCCGAAGCTCCATTTTTTACCAAAATGCCCATTTCTTTGGCACCTGAGAGAATTAGAGCATTAGAACCTTTTCTATCCCGTTGAAAATCCTCTAACAGAAGATACAAGAAAGCATGATGACTTTACCTCCAGGCTTTTCATTTCTGCTTGCTCTTTATTGCCTGTCGATCCCCCAGTGTCCTTTTTCCTTTTCTTCCTATCTTTCTTCGCTTGGAAGCTTGTCAAAGATCTTAAGAACCTGGTGATCGTGATTTTGTAGTTTCCAAGACAAGCCGGAGCCGTCTCCAATTTTTGTTTTCTCTGGACAGCGACAGTCTATCAAAGTTGTTGATCAGGAAACAATGATAAGTACAATGTACTCAGCTGTTGCTGATATGCACATCTTCAGGAGCATTCGCATAATTGTGAAGCTAACAATTGATAGGTCAATGCTAAAAATGTACATAACTATTTTCCTCTTTTGTGCATGGTAAGGGTGTCTCAAACTTGTGACTTAGTCAAACGTCATGATCACAAACTGGACTCTGCATATACATAATGTTATTGAGCATCTTCCATAAAATTTTCCCAAATAACAGGAAAAAACTTTTGAATCAAGATAAGGACAGGATTCCTTACTTTGTCTGAAATTCGGTAATTGTTTGTAGAGATAGGTGCTGGGAGTAGGGATGTGGATTCGGCGGCGGGGTGAGCAGATTTCCGGAGGTGCTGGCAGTAATGAAGAAGTTCGGCCCTTCTATTGTATCCTTTGCCAGAAAAAGTACCTTTGCTCTGAATTTGCCTTTCTTCATTGGGGCGATGAAGGTGGTGGTGGTGGTGGTGATGGTAGTGATGGCGGTGATGATGAGGGCGGTGACTCGGATTTGGTGAACTGAGCTTCCTCCTTTGTGGCTTCTCCACATACACCGAGATCAGTACTGCTTTGTCTTTGCTGCATGACGCCTGAAGCTGCAAACAAAAGTAAAAAAAAAACAGTTCATGTCATAGAAAATTCAGACAGAGAGAGATTAGTATTCACCATTTTGGTGGGCATTCTCAGCAAAGGAGTATCGATCAGATGCAATGAGATGATCTTAGTATGTGCAAGAACATAAATGGGTTTATATGTTTCTCATAAAAAGTATTGATGCAATTCAGTAATTTTGGTGGATTCGATGCACCAGAAGAGGATACAGATATACAAAACTTTAAGACTGACAAAATGAGAAGGCTGATAGAAAACTTCACTATCTTCGATTTGACCGAAACCAATCCCAATACATGTTAAACAAGGAGCCACCAAATGTGCAAATCCGGCTATGCTTTGATATATAATATTCCCCTGTAAAAAGGACGACATTGTTGGGACCATCAAATGCATTAATTAACAAACATGTTAATTAACAAACATGTTAATTGGCCCGCAACAAGAAAGCTAGCAAGAGGTTCCAAATCCATTGGATTGTCTCTCTTTTCTGACAATATGATAGAAGTTATCATCTATACACTCAGGAATCTAATTGGCCCGCAACAATTTGACTCTTGACCCTCGCAATTGTTGTCAAGTAATAGTGCTTATATATGCAAAACAAAGTTGTTTGACAAACCTGAAATCACATTCTGACGAGTAATCCGAATGTCGACGAATGATCCGAGCCCAACGAATTCACGTTGTGTCCTTAAGACAATTTGTCCCCTCTACCGGTACCCAAGGTTGTTGAACAATTGTCTCCCAGGATAGAACGGATCGCCTTTCCAAAGAAGCGGTACTTCTTCAAAGGAAATGTTCGAACGCAACTTCACAGAATAATCGCACAAATGACAATGATGAAGAAACGGAAAAAATGAAAAATGTCTAGAGTGCGTCGAGAAAAAACGGGAAAAAGTCTCGTGGGAAAAAATGCCACTAAGAGTCACTATTCCGAACAGAACAGTTCGGATATATATAGCGAAAATGAAGAGTCGCGAGCAATGAAGCGGTTTTTTTCGTTCGGTCCGTGAACAGTCGCGAGCACTCGCTTGAACCGAAGCAGTTTTCGTTTGGTTCGTGAACAGTCGCGAGCAACGTTTCGGGCGAACCGAACCTCATGAACAGACATGTTTGTTTGTCCAAAAAAATTAATTAATTAATTTCTAACAAAACGTGTTTGTTCGGGAAAAAAAAAATCGATAGAGAATGGACCCGGGCCCGAGCTGAGCCGGCCGGACGGCGGCGGCGCGCGCGCGGGGGGACTGACCTAGCTCGGCGAAGGTCCTCTCCCTTCCACAAAAGTGGGGTACCCCTTGGGGCCCAAACCCATTTGAGAGACTCATCTAAATAAACCATCTCCCATCACAACTTCTATCCAATGTGGGACTATTTCCATCCACACTTCTCATTCACAATTTATGGATTTTTGATACTAAAATCCCAACAATCCCCCACGTGAATGAGAAGTTCAGATATCATGACTCTTCGTGTATGCATGAGATGCAATGTGCGATTATTCCATGAAAAAACGTTGCATTGGGATAAGTAGTCTGAGGCTTTGAACTTTCCCTAGTGAGACCTATCGGACTTACTCAATCAATCAGTAGACTTGATGTCTTTGAACTGTCGACCTTCGGTGTAAGTCAAGACAATAGAAATCACACAATTATCTCTCAAATAAAGTTGGTTCTCACTGTTGTGTTCGTTTTGGCCATTAATACCGCCTGGTTTCATGAGTGCTTTGAAGAATTTGGCCTTTCAAATTCTTCATAGAAGCAGCCCTCACTTCACACTCACATAGGTGATTTCTGATTGTGTGGTATATTACATACCCGAATCAGAATCATTAAAAGCTTACACTTAACTTTCACATGTTAGTACTGTCTCCATACGAGAATGAGTAAGAGTTGACAGTACACTACTCCGCCTGCATAACTTGGTTGTCCCTTTGAACCTAGATCTTGAGATCTCCAGTCAACTAGGTAGGGTTTTCGCTATGATGACTTATTTTATAGGCCTTAAACCCATTCCCCTTAATGTTTTTACAACCAACTCTCTAGTTAGGCCTTTTGTTAATGGATCCGCAACATTATCTTTTGACTTCACATAGTCAATCGTGATAATTCCACTAGAGAGTAGTTGTCTTATAGTATCGTGTCTTCGACGTATATGTCGGGACTTTCCGTTATACATGACATTCCTTGCCCTGCCTAGTGCCGCTTAACTATCACAATGAATACACATAGCTGGCATTGGTTTAGACCAATTAGGAATGTCTTCTAGGAAATTTCGAAGCCACTCAGCTTCATCACCGGCCTTATCCAAAGCAATGAATTCTGCTTCCATAGTAAACCTTGTAATACAAGTTTGTTTAGATGACTTCCAAGACACTGCTCCCCCACCAAGTATAAACACATACCCACTTGTGGATTTTGTGTCTCTTGTGTCGGTTATCCAATTTGCATCATAATATCCTTCAAGTACCGCTGGATACTCTGTGTAGTGCAAAGCATAATTTTGAGTGTGCTTCAAATAGCCCAATACACGTTTCATAGCTTTCCAATGATTTTCATTTGGACTAATTGTAAATCGACTTAGCTTGCTCACAGCACAAGCTATGTCTGGCCTAGTACAGTTCATGACATACATTAGACTGCCTAGTATACTAGCATACTCATTTTGAGCTTTGCTTTCACCAGTATTCTTTGAAAGATGTAAATTAACATCTATCGGAGTCTTTACTGGTACAACGTATAGATTCTTGCACTTTCCATGAATCGTCTCAATATAATGGGACTGTGATAGAGTTAATCCTCCAGATATCTTGTGGATTTTAATTCCTAAAATAACATCTGCAACCCCCATATCTTTCATATCAAATTTACTTGTGAGCATTCGTTTGGTCGTATTGACAACCGCAATATTGCTACCCATTATAAGCATGTCATCTACATACAAGCACAAAATAGCAAAACCATTATGAGTGTTCTTAACATATACACATTTATCACACTCATTAATCTTAAAACCATTCGACAACATGACTTGGTCGAATTTAGCATGCCATTGTTTTGGTGCTTGTTTCAATCCATAGAGTGACTTGATAAGCCGACATACTTTCTTCTCTTGTCTTGGAACAATGAACCCTTCGGGTTGTTCCAAATATATTTCTTCTTCCAAATCCCCGTTTAAGAAAGCCGTTTTAACATCCATTTGATGGATTTCAAGCCTATACACCGCTGCTATGGCAATTAACATCCTTATAGATGTAATTCTAGTAACAGGTGAATAAGTGTCAAAATAATCAAGGCCTTCTCGTTGCTTGTATCCTTTTACCACAAGCCTAGCTTTATACTTATCAATAGTACCTTCCGCTTTTATTTTCCTCTTGAAAATTCACTTACATTGTAGTGGTTTATTACCAAGAGGAATGTCAACCAATTCCCATGTATGGTTTGACAATATGGATTCAACTTCACTATTGATAGCTTCTTTCCAAAACGGGGCTTCTGGGGATGTTACAGCCTCTTTAAAGGTCCGAGGCTCATTCTCTAACAAATATGTTAGAAAATCATTTCCAAAGGACTTAGAAGTTCTTTGTCTTTTACTACGTCTAGGTTCATCCTCTATAGGATCGCTTTTAGGTGTAGTATCCCGAGGCCTCTTATCATTGTTAATTGGCTCATATACTATGTTATACGGAAATATATTTTCAAAGAACGAAGCGTCCCTTGACTCAATGATCGTATTAACATGTATATCGGGGACCTCAGACTTATGAACAAGAAATCAATATGCATTACTATTAATAGCCTATCCAATAAAGACACAATCAACGGTTTTCGGTCCTATTTTAACCTTTTTAGGTTTAGGAATCGCAACCTTAGCTAAGCACCCCCACACTTTGAGATATTTCAAATTAGGCATTCTGCCTTTCCACTTCTCATAGGGAGTTTGTTGTGTCTTTCTGTGGGGTACTCTATTCAAAATAAAAATGGCGTCAAAATAGCTTCCCCCCACAAATTTTGTGGTAAACCGGAACTATTCAACAATGCATTCATTGTTTCCTTTAAAGACCGGTTTTTCCTTTCCGCCACTCTATTAGCTTGTGGCGCATAAGGAGGAGTAATTTGATGAATAATACCAAACTCAGAACAAATTTCTTCAAAAGGAAATTCATATTCACCTCCTCTATCACTTCTTATCATCTTAATTTTCTTATTTAACTGAGTTTCAACTTCGGACTTATAAGTTCTAAAAGCATTCATAGCCTCATCTTTGCTACTAAGCAAATAAACATAACAATACCTCGAGCAGTCATCTATAAACGTTATAAAATACTTCTTACCACCTCTTGACAGTATTGCTTTCAAATCACAAATGTCTGTGTGTATTAAATCTAAAGGTTCTGTGATTCTATTATCTATAGAATGAAAAGGAGGCTTAGAAAATTTTGATTCAACACATACTTGGCATTTTTCACTTGGACAGTCGAATTTTGGCAATAACCCCATGTTCATTAATTCTTTATTGACTTATAATTAACATGTCCTAGTCTAACATGCCATAAATTAGGAGACTCAAGCACATAAGCAGAAACAACTTTATTCATAACATCATTGGGTACAACAGTCATTACATTCAACTTGAATAGACCATCACTAAGATAACCCTTTCCTACATACATCTCATTTTTGGAGAGTACAAACTTATCAGATATAAACACCAACTTGAAATCATTCTTGCTAAGAAGAGATCCGGACACTAAATTCTTGCGTATGTCTGGCACATGTAGCATATTATTTAATGTCACAACTTTCCCATATGTCATCTTCAAAACAACCTTTCCAACACCTCAACCTTAGAAGTTGATGAATTACCCATGTAGAGTTTTTCATCACCTTCCATAAGCGTGTATGATGAGAACATAGATTTATTGGCGCATATATGACGAGTTGCTCCAGTATCAATCCACCATTCTTTGGGGTTTCCCACCATGTTGCACTCGGATATCATAGCAGTAAGATTGATATCATCAGCACCATTGGAAATCTGTTCCACCACATTCGCCTAAGTCATCTTTCTTTTCTTGGCTCTATAGTCTTTGGCACGACGTCCAGACTTTCCACAATTATAGCATTTGCCAATGAATTTTTTCAGGCCTTGGGTGGATCGCTATTCATAGTTTTTCCTCTTCTTGTTGGTTTTTTATCCTTCTTCAACAACGTTGGCCCTTGAGACCGCCAGATTGCTGCTAACTTTCTTCTCGGAATTCCTATTGTCTTCCTCTATCCTCAATTGAACAATTAAGTCTTCAAGTGATAATTCCTTTCTCTTGTGTTTGAGATAGTTCTTGAAATCTTTCCAAGACGGTGGTAACTTTTCAATGAAAGCAGCCACTTGAAATGATTCACTAATCATCATGCCTTCAGCATGAATGTCATGCATGATCACTTGAAGTTCTTGAACTTGACTTAAGACGGTTTTAGAGTCTACCATCTTGAAGTCCAGAAATTTGCCGACGATGAATTTCTTCAACCCAGCATCTTCCATTTTGTATTTCTTGTCTAAACTTTCCCACAACTCCTTAGCCGTTTTTAGCGGACTATAAACGTTGTAGAGGGAATTGTACAGACCATTGAGGATATAGTTGCGACACAGAAAGTCAGAATGCTTCCATGCATCTATAGCATCAATCTTTTCCTCGTTTGTCTCTCCTTCATCCAACTTCGGAGCATCCTCCATGAGGAACCTTGCCAAGTTCAAAGTGGTGAGATAGAACAACATCTTCTGTTGCCATCTCTTGACTTCAGCCCCGTTGAACTTTTCTAGCTTCTCTCCATGAGTCGGAACAGACGCAATAGGCGTCATTGATGTTGTAGCCATTTCTAAAGTCACAAAGACAGAAATGATTGAGAAATGCAATTATACAAACACGAGAAATTGTCTTAAGATTGTTGTTAAGTAATAGTGCTTGTATATGCAAAACAAAGTTGTTTGACAAACCTGAAATCACGTTCTGATGAGTAATCCGAATGTCGACGAATGATCCGAGCTCAACGAATTCACGTTGTATCCTTAAGACAATTTGTCCCCTCTACCGGTACCCAAGGTTGTTGAACAATTGTCTCCCAGGATAGAACGGATCGCCTTTCCAAAGAAGCGGTACTTCTTCAAAGGAAATGTTCGAACGCAACTTCGCAGAATAATCGCACAAATGACAATGATGAAGAAACGGAAAAAATGAAAAATGTCTAGAGTGCGTCGGGAAAAAACGGGAAAAAGTCTCACGGGAAAAAATGCCACTAAGAGTCACTATTCAGAACAGAACAGTTCGGATATATATAGCGAAAATGAAGAGTCGCGAGCAATGAAGTGATTTTTTCGTTCGGTCCGTGAACAGTCGCGAGCACTCGCTTGAACCGAAGCAGTTTTCGTTTGGTTCGTGAAATGTTAACGGAAATTTTTTGGGATATCAATTGAGCTAATTTACGTGCTAAGAAAATGTGAAGAAGGTACATTATCTATATTCCAATTTCGCACGGAATTATTGCACGTTACGTACTTTCAGGTGTTCTAAACTATCGTAGTGTTATATTTTTAACCCGCAATAAGAATCCTAGAGTGCCTAATCTTTGTTAATCAAATCCTAAATAACATACAGATGAGTAAAGCTAGCAAATATAATGATATTCAAGAACCACTCTTTAATTTGCACCATTGAATCTTCATCTTTGCGTTAGGAAATTACATGACTCAACCACATTACATATTTCGACCGTCCATTGATAAGGAATGGCTAGAAATGGGGACATATAACAAGCATGGTCACCTGAATTAGAGGAAAGTTGTCCAAAAAGTTCTAAACCTTCAATTTTGCCAATTTAGTCCCAAACATTTTTACAATTTGTCAATTGAGTCATTCCAGATAATTTTAGCTAGAAATTGCTAACATAGATACCGGCCATCCTACGTGGCACAGCCAGCACTAACGTGGATAATTTTTAATGATATTTTTACATTTTTTCAATTTTTTCGTCTTTTTTTTTTCTTTTTTTCCTTCTCTCTTCTTTTCTTTTATTTTTCTTCTTTCTTTTTGCTTTTTCCCTTTGCCGGGCCTCATCGATAGCTGGTGGAGGTTGCCGACCTCAAGTGAGGACCACCCTCGCTACTAAGCGAGGTTGCCCTCGCCGACCCCAAGTGACCCTGGACGGCGCCCCTCGCCAGGCCAACGAGGGTGAAATGACTTCATTTTCCAAAATCGGCAATCAAATCCAAGCTCAATCGTCCACACTACTCTTGTGATGAACACAAATTTTATGGGATGGAACCCAGGTTCGTCCTGTCAAAGCTAAAGGAAGGATCAACCATGCTCGAAAATAATACATATCAATTATACAAGGTTCTAAAGGTGGCTCCCACGGGACTCATGTCACTATGTAGCACTTAGTCCTTAACCAATTCGTATCGATAGTACAAGATTCTAAAGGTGGCTTCCATGAAACTCGCGTCACCACGTAACACTTAGTCCTTGAGAAGCACATATCAATAGTACATGATTCACAAACCATATTTGATTTCACAAACCAAGTTCATAAATCAATCGGTATAACCTTTCACAACTGGTTTCATATACCATTTCTAATACCTTCACAAGTATTCAAATCAAATTATTTCAAATAATCAAAACCAATTCAAACTATTTTGAGTACCATAAAGGGTAGCAAACGCCTTATTCAGTTTATATGCAACCAATATGCTCTAGAGTCCGTACCACTTTTGAAATATGAGTTTTCAAATTCAAAGAAAAGATAAGTACCGCTCACTTGGAATGCAAAACCAAAAGCTCAAATTAAAAGCTACACCATCCAAAAAGCTTCAAATCCTATCAATAAAGCATTAACGCCAACTAACCTAAGACTCAAGGCGACCTATCGTCCACTACGGGAGCAGCCACTTTGCTGAACCAAACAACAGAAACCTCAACTCACGCGGCCAACTTTGTCGCGTCATATATGCCTCTACCAAACTCAGATTCAAGCGACTTTATTGTCAATAAAAAGCTCTTTCGAAATACTAAAAGGTCATAAGGTTCTCCAACCTAAAAGTTGGCCAGCCATAGACGAAACTTATCATGGAAAGCTGCTTTTTGAATTACTATACAACAGTTTTTCGAGAACTTTGAAAATCGGTATCACTCAAATGGGATGTCCAAATTGCAATCCGTAAGTTTCTGGAGATGTGAGGGACCTAATTATCACCATTGAATAGCTTAATCTCAGCCGGAGCTTCACCGACGAAGCCAACGCAGCTAAGGCAACAATTTTGACTCCTAGAACAAAACCCAACTTGTAAGAGGGAAAAACAACTAGGAACTCAATCACATGCAAAAGGCGTATTCCGGCATCAATCGATGTTTCTTGACCAACCACCATGATTTCATCCCCTTAATCGTATCGATGTCCTCCGAGCCCCCTATCTCTTGTTCTTTTCTTGTTCTTTCTCCTTTCACGACTTCACTACACGAATGAGGAGCTAATCTTGTTACTCTCATATTCAATTAGATGGGCTTAAGTGGCAAACTTGGGCTTGAGCCTTTATCTTTTTTATATAACTTTGTCAGGGGGAAGATCATTACATCCGAAAGCATAGCACTTAGAAGCAATTCATGACATGCTTAACAAGAGAATAGAAGTTTGGGCAAACTCTTGTGGACCAGCAAGAGCAGTACAACAGTGATTTTTCAATAATAGACAGATGGGTAGATCCTATTACATATATGCTCAGTGTCTTCGAGGCTCCGATCCCAGGAAGTTACCAAAACGTCTCTTTGTCGAATCCATCCGATTCTGAAGCACCTTGTGCCTGAACCAAACCAGGATAGGGAGAAATAGCAGCACCGCAACCAACAAGATCTGTTCCTTTTAAACCTATCCATGGGGACGTTATTTGTGAAGATAATCAAATAGGAGCTTCTACTAGTGAACTACACTCTAAAGATATCCGATTGTTTGTAGTAATTAAATCTTGTGGTAAGATTTGTGTACAATTCTTTCGTGAGATTGAAATATTATTTCGTGAGGAATTGTGAGCTAAACACTATGTTCATTATTGGATGTAATTGGGGCTTGAAAAACACTGAGATTGTTTAAATGACTCGAGTGTGATTATAATCTCTGTTATATCATTTGATCTATAGTGGAATCTGTTGCTGCTCTCCCCATGGACATAAGTCACTACGACCGAACCACGTAAATCTTGTGTCCAATTTATTTTCTTGTACCGTCTATTTTATTGTTCGATCGCTTGCTTCCGCAATAGTGATCTTATTCCTTCCTTTGACCCGGACCAAATCGGTGTTAATGATCATTAGTGCCCTCACGATTTGAATATGCCGGCTTTGCAGAGCCAGGTGCATGGGACTAAACCCCTCTGGGTCCAGCTTCCGAGCAAGCGAGAGCATCAAGGTTGCCAATGCCAAAGCGAAATAAGGTTTTTCGGCAGCCACAGCTTCATGTAAAGGAGTATTATACAGCGATCTCTTATCCATCTTATCTAGAAGGTATGGATCATCAGCAAGCTGTGCATGGAGCTTGTTAATGTCTTCATCTTCTGTTGCATACTGCATTTTCTCAGAGCGACTAGAGATGGGTAGCTGCGGTACGGTGAAAGGGTCAATCAATAGGTGATGAGTGAGAATGGACAGAGATTAGTAGCCAGAATATCAAGAATGGAAGCTACATTGATGGGTATTCGAATATCATTTTAATCTTCATAGGGAGCTCCGGCTAGCTTTTATGTGGATGTGACAATACAATAAGATTCAAATGGTACACGTCTACATCTGATCGCTAGCCGAAAGCTCTGTCTCGTTGGAAGAGTTTCTCTACCTTTGGTGTAACTATGTCTCCTCCCTCCTCAATCCAAACCCTAACTATAAACCCTAGCCCTTCCCCTCACGATCTATGGAGAGTTTCTCTATCATTCCAACTCCCCCGTACCCTAATCAAAACCACATAGCCTATTTCGCTACTGTTTTCATCCATACATGAAGCTCAGTCACTATTCTATTGACATTATTCTCGCCCCAGTACTTTTCCTTCCCTCAATCCCCTGAAATACATGTTTATAACCATACCCATCCTTCGAGCAGCCTTGTTTGCCTCTAGAAACCCCCAAATCAATCTATCCCAAAACCCTAGCCATCCCATTGTTTCACCCTTATCTCTCCATTCTCTCCCTCGTTTCCTTTAAAACCCCCTTTTCCTTGAAAACCTACCTCTTCTAGCTTTTACTCATGGATGATGTGCGTGTTGGTCTTGCTCCATTGGCAGCCCCACTCAATCTCAAACGCTCATTCCCTTCCTTTTCAACCCTGAAAACCTGCATTGCACAACCCTTGCTTGTCTTCAAATTCACTCGCCCTTCACAGCCCTGGTTTGGTATCCGTGATTATCATAGATTGCCTCCACTACTTGAGTCGTTTGTCTGAACTACACTCCCTTCTGACTTGAAGCTGGGATAGCGAGCTCATATGGAGTACACGGGAGTAGACCCTCGCCTGGAGCTTCTCTCGAGAAACTAGGTAACATGTGGTCAGTAGATAAAATCATAGACTTAGAAGATGTAGATACTACTGGAACATGAGAAGGATTGTCAGTTGATGCTGATTGGAAAATTATTTACTAATCCTTCTATTAACTTCCAAGCTTTTCAAAGTACTATGAAAAAGGCATGAAAGATAGATAGTGTGGACATTACCCTATTGGAGCAGGAACTGTTTCTGTTCGCATTCAAAACAGAAGAGGAATCTAAACGTGTGCTGAATGGGGGACCATGGTCTTTTGCTAATCACATGCTTCTGCTAAAACCATGGGAACCCAACACTTCTTCCCGATGTTATGATTTCTCGAAGGGAGCCTTTTGGGTACACATTTATGGTCTACCTGTGGAGTGGCGAAAGGAAGTAGCTGTAAGTAAGATTGCCATGGATTTAGAAGAAGTCTTGGATATGAAAGTAGAAACAAGAGGGACTGCTGCCTTTGTATCAGGGAAAGTGAAAGTCGAACTAGATCTATTTGCTCCCCTAAAGCAAGGAAGTGTCGTTAGACATGCAAGAAAAAAATTCTAGTTGGAGTATAAATATGAGAGATTACCTCATTTTTGCTACGCCTGCAGCAAACTGGGTCACTACACTACTCATTGCGCTGATAGTCCTGTAGATGTGGAGAGAATAGAGGGACTTCATTTTGGGTACAGGCTTAAGGCAGAAGCAAGAGAGTTCAGTCCCATATGGAAGCTCTTCTTCGAAGACAAATATGAGGAAAGCGTAGTAGAGGAAATTATACCTGAAACTCTAGAAATATCGAATCAGATGGAGATTTTCCAGCAACTGCCTCCCAACACTAGCCGGATGCGTAGACCTTACAAGAGAAAGGAAATAGACAAAGACCCTTCAAGTCTGTTTCAAGGAGAGGCCAATACTCCTTTTCTGTTACTGACTTGGCCAGACAAAGGGAAAGCTCCTCTAAGCCAGAAAAAAACGCTCATTACTGAATCATACCAGAAAAAAGAGGGGAAAACAGCAAAACATACAGTTAAAAAACAGAAAAGGTTCAACCCCTATGGTACAGAAAAGGTAAACCAGGAACCTCTTGATGAGACACAACTCCTAGAAACCCCAATCCAATTTGTAAAGGCAAAGGGTGCACAGGCTTTGGTGGTTAGCCCTAATAACCACCAGGGTACCAATGAATATCTTAAGCTGGAATTGTCAGGGGCTAGGCTACCCCTTGACAATCTAGGAACTAGGAGCTTTGGTGGCTCTCAATAGGCCCAGTATCGTGTTTCTTATGGAAACGAAGAACAAGGAACCAACGGTGCTTAAGATAAAGAATAAGTTAAAATTTCAATACCATTTTGTTGTAAATCTAGTTGGGACTGTGGGGGGATTGGCTCTCATGTGGAATGAAGAAGTTCTGATATTAATAGACTCTTTCTCTGCTGCGTTTATAAATGTCACTTGTAGATGGGAGGGAAACAAGATAGTTATGAGAATTACTCTTGTGCATGCACCATACACTTTTCAGAAAAGAATATTGCTTTGGGATGAATTGACATATATCAACTCTCACAACCATCTTCCTTGGATTTGTCTTGGCGATTTCAATGAAATTCTATATCATTGGGAGAAGATTGGAAAGAGAATGGCTGAAAATTATTGAATGGTGGCATTTCAGGAGTTTATTAATGATTGCTTTTTCATGGAATTGGAGGGTTAAGGATGTGCTTTCACCTGGGCAAATAACTGAGAGGGAGATGATTTTATCAAAGAAAAACTAGATCGAGCTTTACGTAATGCAGAATGGAGGGTCTCTTTCCCACAAGCGTTAGTGTTCACCTTGCCAGCAGTAGGTTCTGATCACAGCCCTCTTATGTTGTCACTCGCGACTGTTAGGATGAAAAGGAAAGAAGAGTTCAAGTTTGAAGCCTTTTGGTTGAATGATAATGAATTTGAGGGTATCGTAAACTCAGCCTTGAATGATCCAAGCAAAGCTAATCTGAGTTTGTGGCCGAAATTACAAAAAGTCAAAGGATCACATGCTGTTTGGAGTAAAAAATTCTCAAATGTTCAAAAATAAATCAAGCTCCTAAAAACAGAACTTGAATCTATCACAAATGGCCGGGAGGCTGAATGTTACAGAAAGAGGATCCAAGGAATTAGGGGAAAGATTGAGGCATTGTGGAAGCATGAAGAGATGTATTGGGGAATGCGGTCGAGAATTATGTGGCTGAAATGGGGTGATAGGAATACAAAATATTTTCATGCCACCACGATCCAACGTAAATAGAGAAACAGAATTTCCATGCTCCAAATCTCGGATAGTGGATGGAGTAATGACCCTGGAAAACTGAAAGAGGTGACAACAGACTTTTTTACTGAATTGTACAGCTTGGGTGGTCCACGTGATTTTCAACCCATCATTGACCAATGCCCAAGTGTAGTAAGGGAGAAAGTGAATGAAGCCTTAACATCCAGAATAACTTTACACGAAGTAAAAAATGCCGTCTTCCAATTAGGAGCAGTTAAATATCCGGGCCCGGATGGTTTGAATGGATAGTTCTATCAACATCATTGGATGAAGATTCATAAGGATGTTCTAAAAATGGTCAAGGATTTCATGGAGACAGGTTGCATGAACCCGACTTTGAATAAAACCCAAATTACACTTGCCCCCAAAATCCGCAGTCCAGAAAGATTGGATCAGCTTCGGCCCATCAGCTTTGGCCCATCAGCTTTTGTAATTTTGATTATAAGATCATTCCAAAGGTGTTGGCAAATCGTTTGAAGCAGTGGCTGCCTGAACTGATAGAAATGGAACAAAGTGCTTTTGTTAGTGGAAGACAAATACGGGACAATATCTTGATTGTCCAAGAAATCCTTCACTAACTAAGAATCAGGAAAAGGACGAAAAAATTTTCAAACGGTGCTTAAACTTGACATGAAGAAGGCTTATGATAGAATTGAATGGGATTTTCTAGAGGCTTGTATATTGAAGATGGGGTTCAGTAAGAAATGGGTATCGTGGATAATGCAATGTATGGCCACTGTCTCTTTCGGTGTGAAATTCAATGAGGAACCTTTACCTTATTTTCAACCAAAGCGAGGAATTAGACAGGATGATCCTCTCTCTCCTTACCTATTTATAATTGTTGCAAATGTTATATCTCTTCTTATGAAAAAGGCAACTGCTGAGGGGAGAATTAAAGGTATTAAATTGAATAGAAATTGCCCAACACTCTCCCACCTACTGTTCGCAAACGACTTAATCTTCTTCTTGGATGGTAAGTTAAGTGAATGCCAAAACCTAGCTAATATTCTGAATAAATATTGTGTTGCTACTGGTCAGGTGATCAATTTGAACAAATGAGCGATCCTTTATAGCTCAGGCTACCCTCAGAACTAAAAAAGGAATATGGCTCAGTAGCCGGGAAATACTTGGGTATCCCTTCGGACTGGAGAATTTAAAAAAAATGAAATGTTTGTATGGATACTGGCTAGGGTTAATATGAAGCTTGAAGGATGGAAGAAAAAGTTGATATCTAAAGCTGGGAAAGAAATTCTCTTGAAAGCGGTAGTCCAAGCTCTACCGCAATACGCGATGTCGATTTTCAAAATCTCGATATCCATTTGTAAAGCTATTAAGCAGAAGATTGCCTCCTTTTGGTGGAAGAACAATGACTCGAAAGCTGGAATACATTGGAAAAGCTAGAATGTGCTGAAAATGAGGAAAGATAGCAGAGGAATGGGGTTCCAAGACCTCATCACTTTCAATAAGGCCATGTTGGGTAAGCAAGCATGGAGAATACCATCTACGCTGTGGATTCAGCTTTTTAAAGGACTCTATTTTCCTAACACAGACTTCTAGCATGCAAGGAAGGGGCACTGAGCATCGTGGGGATGGCAAAGTTTACTAACTGGAAGGGATGTAATATCAGATTCAGTTCAATGGTCAGTGGGCAATGGAGAATCGATTAGAATCCGCGAAGATAAATGGTTGAAGCAAGACACATTACGGGACCAACTAATCGAGAGGATCCTCAGCTTGTTACCGAGTTGATAGACAAGCACAGCTACTCATGGAAGGAAGAAAAATCCAAAACATGCTGGAAAACAGAATCGCAAATGAAATACTAGCGATCCCCATCCCATCCACAGGAGAGGAAGACAAAATAGTATGGACAGCAGCAAAGTCTGGTACCTATTCAGTCAAAAGTGGGTATAATCTACTCAGGAAAGTGGACAATGACTAAACTCAGAAACAAGCGTTGTCCTCTTACCAAAAGCCTAGAACCTTGTGGTGCAAAGTGTGGAATTTGCAGACCCTACCCAAAATCAGAATTTTCATGTGGAATCTATGCCAAAACACACTCCCCACAAAGGAAAATTTATTCAAACGGAGAGCTTTACCTGACCCGATGTGCCCATTGTGCAGAAGGAGCCCAGAAATAGCAGAGCACTTGTTCCTACCCTGTCCCTAGACAACTGAAGTATGGTCAGACCAACATCTACGCATACGGATACAGAAAGAAGGACTCACCAGCATAGATTGAGGGCTTCTACACTACAAGAGTGACTTACCTGATACACCCAACCTCGAGTTAGTGGCCGAAGTGCTCTGGTTCATTTGGAAAGAGAGGAACGCGACCATTTTCCAAGCTAAACTGCCAGATCCACAAGGAGTTGTGGCCGAAACACTTGCAAAGCATGAAAATTTTGAATCCTGGTGCTCGAATCAGAAGTTTAACTCAGCAGAAGATCGAAACTCAACCTTCAAATGGACTCCACCGGCTTTGGGTTTGCTTAAAATCAACGTTGATGGCGCCTTCGTCGCCAGAACTTCTACCGGAGCAGTCGCCGGAGTGTGCAGAGACGCCTCTGGAGTGTTGATGGGCGGGTTCGCCCGTGAGGTGAAGGCCCAATCATCGCTGCATGCTGAAACCCTAGCAGTAATTGACGGTATGGAGTTCGCGGCCGAGCGGGAGAAGGAAAAGGGCACACGAGTGTAAACTGTGGAGTTTGACCGTCTTACTTTAGTTAAGACACTTCTGGGAGCGGACCATGCATCGTGGAAAGTCACCATGCTTATCAAGAAAGGCCGAGCCGCACTCACTTCTTTGCCATATTTAAGTTTGACTCACTATTTCAGAAGTCAAAATAAAATTGCGGATTGGATTGCCAAAGCCCAACTCCGTCGGTCCCTCCTATGAACCGGACCTCGAGCCCTCCCCAACCTTTATTGGATGTTCTTTGTTTAGAAGCCGAGTTGGGTTGTTATCCTACTTTAGCTACTCGAAATGAAATGACGTTTATTTGAAAAAAAAAATAAAAAAATAAAAAAAATAAACACCTGATCACGAAGTTCTTGATTACTTAAGTCTGACCTCCAATGTGTTGCTGAGGGAGTTTTCTTCACATCTATTCTTTTTTTCCCTCTCGAGCCACTCACAAAAAGGTTCATGTGGTAAAAATTGACGAAAACCGGGTTCAATTCTTAAAGAATCACTGGAAGACTAGAACAAGGACATACCGAGACGTCATGGTTATGTCGTACCATATTTGAGGGAAATTTGTAGCTACAAAGTAGAACATAAACTTTGTAGACTATTTAGGATAACACATATATCATTACAGTGTGCCAGTAATCAACAAATACTTCTTTTAGATGAGTCGAACTAACTATTCAATGAGGAATCAGACAATTCTTCCTTCTCAGCAGGCTTTGCTTAGTAGCCTAGGCAAACCTTTTATGGACCAGCAATAGAAGTAAGACAGCCACTCGTCTTACGTCTTTCAAGATCCTGGTACTTTCTCACGACATGTGCTCCAGCCTGCCATGGCTACAAACAACAGAGTTCTGCCTAAGAAGTTCACGATTTGGTCGATGGTACCAATGATCAAGCCTTCCACCAAGTAAGCCAAAAAAGAAAACCCTCTATTTGAACATGGCCCACAACAAAGAATTATAAGGAGAATAAGGTGGTTTAGTATGAAAACTGGAAGATAATTCCTGGTTATGCAAAATCAGAGAAGAAGGGGAGGTGTCAAAAACTACAGGGTCATGATGATTGGATGTTTCTGGTTGGTCTTTGAACCGTTTTCCCCTCCTAATATCGGAAACTATTATGCAACTGAGAAAGTATAGATGCACACAGCGTCACACTACAACTAGGAAACAATTTCTTCTTAATATGGACGACGTGCTAACAAAAGAGGGGCCAAGTACCAAAAAAGTTCTAAACCTATTGCATTTGTACCAATTCAGTCCTAAACCTTTCAATTGGACAAATTTAGTCATAAACCTTTTCACATTGATACCAATTCAGTCCATCCGGCTAATTTAGGCTGGAAATCGCTGACGTGGACGCTGGCTATTCTACATGACATAACCGGCACTGACATGAATAATTTTAAATAATTTTTTTTATGAAGATGGCGAGAGCAATATGGAGCCTTTTCTGTGCATTTAATTGCAGACATCCACCCTCCCGCCATTAAGTAAACCAAAAGGAAATACAATCAAACTATGGAAAAATTACCAATTTAGTCCTAGATCTAATTGCACGGATGCCAATTTAGTGTTAAAACCTCTCGATCTTGCTAATGTAGTCTTAAATCTTTTTATGAAATCCCAATGTAATCTTTCTAGCGAATTTTGGCCTGAAAATATTGATGTGGCGGTCTGGTACTTAATTAATAGAGGTGGCAAAATGGGTCTAGAACCCATATTTTAACTCTTTTTTAATGATGTGGATCATAAAGAGGTTACCTTAAGTTTTAAAAACAAGCTTAAATTGATCATAAATGAGTTACCTAACAACTTAATGGGTCTTCAATAGGTATTAAATGGGTCATAAATTGGTTACCTAGCAAGTTTAAGTGAATCATTAACAGGTCATTTTTAATTTTCTGATTTTTATTTTTTAAGAATTTTTGAAATTTTTTATAATTTTTTATTTTATTTTATTTTATTTTTTTCTTTTTATTTTTTTCTTTTTTCCTCTCCTTTTTTTCTTTCTTTTTCTTTTTCTTTTTCCTCAGCCGATGGCCAACGACCGACCATAGGCGAGGGACAAGCTCGCCAGCCTTTGGTGCTCACGAGGCTCAAGCCTCACCAATTTGGCGAGACTCGAGTTTGCCCGAGGCCAACAAGCTTGAGGCTCGCCAGATCAGTGAGCTTGAGCTTCATCAGCTGTTGCCGTGGCTAGTGACTGGCCAAGGAAGAAGAAAAAATAAAAAAATAACAAAAAATAAAAATTCGATTTAAAAGAAAAATAAAAAAATAAAAATTATTAAAAGGAGTGCACGGAGGAAAAGCAAATCATTCTTTCCATAACAAATAACGGAAAATATTTTTCAGTTTCTTTTCAGGTTTTAACCAAAAACCTGAAAATATTGTCATTTTCTTGAAATCATTTTCCAAAAATGTCACATTTTCTGCGAAATAAATGAGGCCTCAATTTTTTAAAAAAATTATAAAAATTCTTAACTAGATTTTGTATTGCATAAAAGTGTTTTAGCAATACAATTTTTTTAAAAAAATAATAAGAAATAAGCTTTCCTAAATTAAGTTAAATATAGAAGTGTTTTAGCAATATGAGTTGGATCGGGTATGGGTCAAGCAATTTGTATTACGATAAATAGGTTATAAACGGGTTAAATGGGTCAATTTGGGTTAGATCATTTATGATCCGATCCATCCATTTGATAGGTCTATTAACCGTCACTGAAAATATCAATTTTTTAGCAAGGAAATGCCTGCAATCTAGAAGTAGGTACAGATCGTCAGCGAGTTGCACGTGTAGGTTGTTAATATGTTCATCTTCTAGTGTTTGCTGCATTTTCTCCAATCCACGAGGGACAGATAACACCAGGAACAGTAGCCAGACTCGAGAATCAATGGGAAAATTACCAAAAAAGTCCTAAACATTTTGTAATTGTGTCAATGCAATTCTAAACCTTTTTTTTACCATTTCAGTCCTAAACCTTTTACAATTGTGCCAATTCAGTCCATCCGGCCACTTTTGACCGGCCGGCGCTGACGTGGACGCCGGCCGGCTGACGTGGCATTATTTTAATATTTTTTTCCTTCTTCCCCCTGGCCGGACCGGCCAGGGGGATGCTCGCCGGCCATGGGCAACAGCGAGGCCTCGCCCAGATCTGGGCGAGGTCTCGCCAGGTTTGGGCGAGGCCTCGCCGTCGCCGAGCGAGCTCGGCCTCGCCCATGGCCGGCGAGCTCGACCTCACCATGGCCGGGAGAGGTCAAGCTCGCCCAGCGACGGCGAGGCCTCACCGTCGCCCATGGCCAGTGAGGTCGACCTCGCCCATGGCCGGCGAGGTGACCTTGCCGGCGAGCCTCCCCCTAGCCAGTCCGACCAGGTGGAAGAAGGAAAAAAAATATTAAAATAATGCCACGTCAGCCGGCGGCGCCGGCCGGCCAAAAGTGGCCAGATAGACTGAATTGGCACAATTGTAAAAGGTTTAGGACTAAAATGGCAAAAAAAAAAGGTTTATGACTGAATTGGCACAATTACAAAAGGTTTAGGACTTTTTTGGTAATTTTCCCAGAATCAATTGATCAAGAACGGTATCTAGATTGATGGGTACTTGCAGTTACTGAGTATTCTATGTAATTTGTAATTTTAATAGGGAGCTCCAGCTAGATTAGTTGTGAACAAATCATTACAATAAGCTTCCAATAGTGCACATCTACATGTGATTCCTGAGTTTTTTCATTGGTTTAAAGCCCCACTGTGCCACCTCCAATGTTCTAGCCTTGAATATTGTTTCCTAGGGAAGTTCTGTTCCCATCTGCAATTCATTGTTTGACGACACATCGATCGAATCTAAATAGGTTAGTGTTTGGATATATGCGGAGAGACAATTTGACTTAAGGTTATGATTCGCTTTGCTGTTTCCACCAGATGTGATTAATGCTTCGTCGAGGACCTCCACCCGCCGGACATCTCCAAGGTCCTAGACGAAGCGGAGGACGAGTCGCTCCTAGAGCACAAACCGGTACGAATATTGGAGGATGAAGCCAAATATTATTATTAAGGGCTTTTTTGTCTTTTCTATTAATTTTGCTTTTAGGTTAAAAGCTACAATTTATATATTAACTATTGATAGAAGCTAACTGTCAAGTGTTGAGAAGAAAATAGAAAGAAAATAAAAGAGAGAAGAAAAAGTGAGTTTTTTTTTTGTGATTGTTCTCAATCTCTTTGTGCTCCGATCTTAAGAGAAGATCATCATTGTATTCCTACTTTCTTCGAAGTCTAGTGGATTCGTAGAGTGCCTCTGCGCGGAGACGTAGCCAAGTTTGGGTGAACTTCGATAACAAATTATCTAGTGTGTTCTTTCGATTATGTTCTTTTTATTATTATATTATGCTAGTTAGGATCGTTCGTTTGGGTTATTTTTCTGGAATCGGTGTACGATTCCCAACAACTGATCTCAGAGCTGGGTTGGCTAATCGAGAAAATCAAGGGTGTTCGGTGACGTTTGATTAAGAGCAAACGATATGGTAGAAGATAAAATCAGAATCGATAAGTTCGACGGGCGGGATTTCGGATGGTGGAAACTCCAAATCAAGGAGTATCTTTATTAGAAAGATCTCTATGCACCACTTGAGGGTTGAAAATCCGAAATCGCAAAAGTGGATCCGACAACAGAATCAGGATGGAAAATTCTTGATCAAAATGTATCAGATGCGATTCGTCTAAGGT